TCGGATACTCAACAGCTTGGCTTGCCTTTAATGGTCTTTTAATTTACATTATTGTAGTCATGGCATATGTTGTTCTTTTTTGTTGTTGTTCAGTCATTTCAGTCATGTCTGACTCTTTGTGACCCTATTTGGAATTTTCTTGGCAAAGATACTATAGTGGTTTGCCATTTCCTTCTCCAGCTCATTTTACAGATGAGGTACTGAGGCACATAGAGTTAAATGATTTGCCCAGGGTGTCTGAGTCCTGATTTGAACTCAGGGTCTTCCTGATTCCAAGCCCAGTGCACCACTTTTGGTCCTCTTTATTTCATTGTACAAACTCATACAAATCTTATGTTCCTTTTAATTCTTCATCTTCATAATTTCTTACTGAAAAATAATAGTTATCTTCATATACCAGGTGGGTTTTGTTGGGGTTTGGGGGTTTTTTTGCATTTTCTAATTAAGCATGTGATGGTTTTTTTATTTTTTGCTACCTACCACAAAGTAATTATGAACATTTTGGTTTATCTTTCGATATTAATTTCCATATTTGACATCCTAGGGACATAATATGCCCAGTAATACGATCACTGAATTAAAGGGTATGAACAATTTAGTCATTTTTCTTGCACAATTCTAAACTGACACCCATAATAGCTGAAGCAACTCATAGCTTCATCAAGTGTGTTTCTGTACCTTTCCTCCCACAGACCTACCAATACTGACTTTTTCTTTTTGGCTAGGCAATGGGGTTAAGTGATTTGCCCAGGGTCACACAGCTAGTGAATGTTATGTGTCTGAGGCCAGATTTGAACTCAGGTCCTCCTGACTCCAGGGCCAGTGCTCTATCCACTTTGCAATACCAACTTTTTAAAAAACATCTTTGCCATTTGGCAAAGTCTGAGGTGAAATCTCAGTTGTTTTAATTTGCATTTCTCTCACTACTAGGAGCCTTTCATCTAGACATTTGTAATTTGCTATTATTTTCAATACTATTTTTACATTTCGACCATTCACATATTGGGAAATTACATTTGGTCTTACGTATTTGTGACAATTCCTTATTAATCTTAAATAGAAAACTTTTATCAGCTGTATTTGATGGAAATCTTTTTTCTGCCTGATGGTTTCTCTGTATTAAATCTGTGCAAATCTTTAACTCTGTCTGATATTGTCTCTCTTGGTTGTCTCTATCCCTTGGTTAAGAATTTTCTCCTAAGGGGCAGCTAGGTGGTGCAGTGGATAGAGCACTGGCCCTGGAGTCAGTGAGACCTAAGTTCAAATCCAGCCTCAGCCATATAACACTCACTAACTGTGAGACTCTGGGCGAGTCACTTAACCCCAATTGCCTCAACAAAAAAAAAAACCCACAATTTTCTCCTAGCCAGCTGCAGAAGATACCTCTTTAATGTTCTCTAGTTCTTAATGGCCTTTTATATTCAAACAATACATCCATTTGGAGTTTAATATTTATCCCTAAGACTATATTATAAATGAGCTTATATTCAAAACTGGTGCTTCCCTTTCTGTCATATTTTTCCACTTGGAATGATCTTATTTTGATATTATATCAGGAAAAATTCTGAATTAAATTCAATTTGTAATTGTCATTTACTGTATTTTGATAACTCATTTAAACAGATGAGGCCAGAGTTATTATAATTGCACATTACCTCTCTTTCCAACTTTTCTTCTAGTTTTCTAATTTAATAGTCCAGGAAAAAAAATATTTTTCAGTCCTCTTTCAACAGGTTTCCTCTTCAGAAGCATTCCCTAACTCTTAACCCTGCTCTTTTCTAGACCCAACACCACTAGTCTTTCCAGGAAAAACTTCTCTTAGATGATAAGTACATCTCCCTGCCTTCGACATCAGGGGTACAAAACCAATCAGACCTGCTTAGCTTAACTTTCCTTCGAATAAAGCATCTGAGCTGCCCTAAAGCATGTGATAAAGATGTACCTAAGCGTTAGACCTTTGTATATTTCTTCTTACTACCCATTACAGGAAGGCCTAAAGACTATTATGCCCAAAGCTCCCAGGGCACATCCCTCTCCTGCCCTTTTCCAGTCCCACTTTGAAAGTATTAGTCGTCTTACTGTGTGACCCTGGGCAAGTCACTTAACCCAACTGCCCCCCCCAAAAAAATATTAGTCCTAGCCCCAGTGTGACAGGAATTGATGGAATGCCCTTGTCTTTGCCTCCCCTGTGCTTCCTCAGGTGCCTGCAGTTGTGTGCCTTTAAATAAATCAAATAAAAAGGTCTATTCCCTTCAGCATTCACTAGTCATCTAATTCTTCAGGAAGAGCCCTTTAGCTCTAGCATCAGAACCTGATGTATTAATTCTGATCTTTGCTCTGACAATGTAGTGGGCTATTTGTACCAATAATTCCTTTAGGAATGGCTTCTACAACAGTAAAAACCTATGTCCTGTCAGTTAAAATATTATCAATTTCATGTTTATCTGATCATCCAGTGCCTACCTCCAATTTTTTTCTTGAAATATATGAGGATTTTATGTGGTATGGAAAGATTTAAGGCATAGATAAACTAGGCTATTTTATAAGTCCATGTGAAACACCATAAGGGAAGAAAATAAAATATAGAAGTATAAAGAATTTAAGGTAACTCCAATCTGACCTATTGTATTGAATATATGAGGTAAAATTATATTATCACAGATTCAAAGTTTGAAGGAACCTAAGAGACCACCTAGTTTAACCTCATTTTGCAGAAGAAACTAAGGCCTAGAGTGATTGACTTCTCCAAGATTACATAAGAAGTGGCAGAGCCAGAATTCCAACTCTCACCCCCACACTTCAATCCAAATCTTTGCACTGATTCAAGCCTTGAAGACGAGGATGCTGGTACTAACACAATCAAATGCTTCAGGGAAGGTCAAGGATGAGATCTGAGTAAGGTTCAATGGATTTAGCAATGAAGAGATTATTAGTGCATTTTTTTCCTCAGTGAGAGAATATGGGCATTAAACATTATACTATTACACTTGGTTGATATTGGATAGTTTCGTTGAAGTTTTGCAAAAAAAAAATTGTTACAAAGGATCTCTCCTGGGGCAAGAAAGGGTGCAGGAACATACTCAGAAATTAAGGCAATGTAAAAAAAATTAATAAAAATAAAAACTTGAATGAGATACAGGCAAATGGCTTGAAGAGACAAGATCAAGAGGTTTGTTTGGTTGGTTGGTTCCCCCCCCTTCTCCCCTCCCTTCCTATAGGGTAATGTGTGAAATAAATGTAGTTGAAAGGGAAGGAAATTTAAAATGACAGAAGCTCCCAGATTTGATGGAATCAGGGAAACAAAAGAGTTAAGTTTAATAAAAAGGAAGCCTACCTCGGAGTGAGTGGATTTACAAAAGGATAGGTGCCATTTTGCTAAAATGCTGCCTCTCTCCATGATAGAACATAAGACATAGGAAATTTAAGAAGCTATCCTAAAATTCTAAGAGCCTTTTCTAAGTACATTAAGTTAAAATAGATGCATCAGAAAAATAATTGTTAGACAAATTCTTTCATTAAATATATAAAAACAACTATATTAGTCAGTTACTACCAAAAGTTCAAACCTAAACAGTACTAAAAAATTACATAATCAATGGAAGCAACCAGCGTCAGCAACCTATACTTGACAAACTGACAATGGTTGAAATCTCAGCCTTGCCCCTTGGCTTTCCAAAGCAGTTATAAAACCTGAAAATCACACTTTAGCTTTGGAGTCTGCACCCAAGGAGTAATGCCCCTCTCAAATATCCTTGTCAATCAGTTGTCAGGATCCCCATGCCAAGACCACCCCTCTCTTTTTACTATTAGGAGACCCCCTGCTTTCCAGAGCTAAGGTTCCGAGCTTGGCATTACAATAATCCTTTGTGCTCACCCTCTACATGGACTCAGCTGCAGCAAAATCTCAGAATTGTTTCACACCAGCACCAGGTGATCCCTGAGCTCAGACAAGTAAAACCATTTTCTAATCATGAAGTGCTGCCATGAAGCAAACTTTTCTCATTTGTTGCCATTACTCCTCATTGTCAGGCTACAGCTCACTGTGTCTACGCATGCACAGGCCCAAGCACATGTCTAGTTTCCTCCTCCACTGGAATAAAGAAAGCTTTCTGGTTATGATCACTGTTAGCTCTTGGGCTTTATTTTATTTCTTAACTGTGGTTGTGACAACCTGTGCTAGCTTTTTGGTATTTTAGAGTTAACAGCCATTTCATAACCTCTGTGACGGTTTGGTCATTTGTTTTCAGAGTTGATACAGTCTTAAGTTAATAGACAGAAAAACAGGGAGATTTTCTGCACAAGGACATCTTGACCTTTTAGTATGAAAAACAAACAAACAAACATTTAAGAACCAACTGCCAAAGAACTTTCTTTGAAGATCTTTAACAAAAAAGGAGGCCACATATGATTAAATCCTAGCTTTTCAATTCTGTGAAAGTTTTTAAAAACATCTTAACTCATAAGCATGACTAACCTACTTAATTCTTGCCACAGGGACATTTGTCTGTTGGTCCTGACATAAATGTGAAAATTAAGAATATGAAACTTATAATGTTATTTGGAATTCAGATACCCACCTGATTTTTTTCCATTAGTGCAATAGTTGTCAACTGGCACCTATTTAAAGCCAGTTGACAACTCATCCTCTACCTACATATTTCCTGAAATCAATTCAATTACATTAATGAATTTCAAAAGAATATTAATTGCTCACTTTTTTGTTTGTTTTTAAGGGAGACAGAGAGACAGAGAAACATGCTTTTATCAGTATAAGCAAACTTCCTCTCCCACTGCGGGTATTTATAATCTTAGAAAACCAAGCTCAGGGAACACAAAGCCAGTATGTCAGAGGCTGAACCTGAACCTAAGTGTCTTGGTAATAAACCAAACTGCTCTTCCCATGGTTCACTGGAATACTGAAAAGAAGCCTATTGCAAAAAACAAAAACAAAAAAAGCCAAAAAACCTAAATATCCCCCCAAAATTAGAGAATTAGGCAGAGCAAAGTAAAACTGCTTTATTGATTGCAGTTAGTATAGTTCAATAAATATTGATCCCCAAAATGAACTCAGCTATTTATCACAGACTGTTCCCTGGAACATGAAGTTGAATCAACTGATTCCCATGGAGGTAAACTTGAATCAATTCTGTTTCTTGGGAAATGAAGCCACACCAAGCTGATAAATGGCATAAACTGTTCCTGGAATGGGGATAAATAACAAAGATAAAGTTAGAGGAATGTTCCAAAATGTAAGTGTATAAATATAAATCTAAAAGAGAAACAGTTTAGTTATATTACAATTGTTTTCAATAGTTAATAAAAATGCCAATAGATGTGAATATACAGAGTAAGTAGTATTTTCATAATTGATGTGTCTAAAATTCTCTCTATTAACATTATATAAGCCCTAAATAAACTTGGTGACTACTGCAATGCCAGAATAAACTCAAAGAAAACACAGGACAGCAATTTAAAAAACAATCTAGACTAATTTAAAGAGTTGGGTTTTGGGGGGTTTTTTGAGGGCGGAAATGGGGTGGTGGTGAAGGGACATAAGCAGTGTTGTATCTGTGATTCCATTAGTACAGGGAATTTCCAATAGGGAAATTTTCTCTACTAATGCAACTTTAGTAATTTTCCTGCAACCTACAATCTTAGGGAGTTGCTACAGGGACTGAGACATTAAATGAGTTGCCCAGGATCACACAGTAGGTTATCAAAGATAAGACTTAAATTTAGGTCTTTCTATTCCAAAGCAGGCTTTCTACCACTAAGACATACTAAATTAAAAGCCATAAAATTTTATCAAAAATACTAGCTAATTATTAATTCTCACTGATAATAAGTCTCAACACAAGAATATATTCTTAGCTATCAAAACACAAAGTCTTTATTTAAACTAAAAAGTCCAAATGTCAACTCCTAGATGCTGCCTTTGCCTATAAATGACATTTCTTCCATTGGTTATAGTTTTCAGTTGAGTCTTGTCTATAGGATGACTGAGCTAGAAGGGATGTTAAAGGTCATTGAGCCCATTCCCCCACTCCCCATAGGACCACACAATTATAGTAAGTATAAACTAGGATTTGAATGAATGTATTCCTGGCTCTAACTCTGCTGACCTGTTACACATTACACATCACAATATCTGGGGGTTAGGAAGGTGAGACAAAGGGAAAAAAAGAGAAAATAATTTAAATAGTGTGAGTGTCCACTTTTCTAACCAATTAGCATATGCGTGGAGTAAAAGTGAGATAGGAAATGAGACAAATCCTTAAAAACATTATCTTTGAATGTATAATCTAACTCCCAAATAAGATGTAACTCCACTGTACTATCAGATGTGACCAAGTTTTGGCAAAGTATCAATCCAAAGATAAAAAGAAAAAAAGGTATACTTATAGTAAAGCAAATCACATATCTCTGTCCCTCTACAATGTTTATAGTACATACAAATCTACAGTACACAATTAATGAATAATGTTAACCAATGTCAGTCTCATATCTACTATCATCCCACTTTGAATTCCAGAGAAATTGATATAGATTGGAATGGTGTGGTTCTGTGAGCTGCCTGGATCAAAACACTCAGGGAGGCAAAAGCAGCAGAAAGTAGAAAAGTATCTAATAAATGCAGATCATATTTCATCTGTTTATAATTATTTTTTAAAATTATTAAAGGATCTTGGTGGATCTCTGTCAGTGAGATCTCAAACACTAATTACATAAATTCTTAGAAATTTTCTCAACCTTTTGTGAACACTTCCAAGCCTTCAAAATTTCTTACCAAAAACTGTAAACAACATGGTGGCTCTATAAAGTAGGGCATCTCCTACTCCACCTTTTAGATGCACTGGAATACTATCATCCTCCTAGATTAAAGGGGGAAAAAGGTATTAACAGTTTCACAAAAAACTTATTATTATTCAAAAAACTAAGTCAACAATATACAAACCAATAAAGTAGGTTCCCAACTGAATTAAATATTTTCACTACCCATAATGCCATAAATGTACCTAATAATTTACTCAAATCCTGGAATTTTTTATTGAGGTGCCTATATTTAAAACAAAATGGAAAACTAAACACTCAAAACTGAACATATTTTCCTCTAGTGGAAGTCAATTTGAGAGGTAACAAAAGACAGTATGCTGAAATATCTTTGGAAAAAATGTATAGACCACAATTTTGTTCCAATAAAAGTGGTATCATTAAATATTAATATTTAATATTTAATATTTAATATTAGACATCCATTAGAACAATTTTTCCTACAAAAAAGCTTACTTGTTTAATAACTTTAAAACAGATATCTATGTTAAGAGTACATACAAGTAAAATATTGTTTACAATTAATTTTTAACAATACCAAAAAGTTACATAATAAAATTATTTTATAACACACATATATTGTATTTTATAGCTATGTCAATAGGCAATCACAACTTCACAAAACTTACGTGAAAACTACATTAAAAGACAAATGAATATACACATGGAACCCAAAATTCACAATCCATTCGTGACAGTAGGACAAAAGGAGGAGAAAACAAATCTCTACCTAAAGGAACATGACAAGGGAGGAGGAAAGGTACAGTAAAGGTGGGAAAAGTACAAAAACACTCCCAAAGGGGAGAAACAAGAGGATGGCAAAAGGAGAATTCTTTTTCCTTGGGAACTTCTAATCTAGACCATGAATCTACAAATTTTCTAGAATCATAAAAACTTATAGACCAAGGATCCTAGCTGCACAAGCAATTTCTTAGCCTCTTGTATACTAACTGGTGCCTGTCTTGACTCCCAATGACACACAGGGATTCCAGTGAGGGATGCAAACACTTTATGTCAGTCTCCCAACTGTCATCCTAGCTTCATCCTAGACTTCCTACGTACTTCTCAACTACAGCGCTTTCTCCTTTATCAAATTTATTTGCAACCTTGTATTAGCCTGAAATAAGGACTTTCAACAAAAGTTCACCATACTTAAAAAAGCCAAACAAGCGCTTCTTTTAAAAAGAAGTTAAAATAAAGTAACAGAAAAAAATTTATTAGAATTTAAAATGTCCTTTCATTAAAAATATGAAAACAAAAAACAGTGTTTCTGGAAAATATGACAACTCAAAAAACCAAGTTCAGGATACCTCTTAACATTCCTTAACAGCTTTCAAGTTCTGGACTACATATATCATTTTCATTTGATCCTCACTGTTATGAAGTAGGAAGTATCTCAATTTTATAGGTGAGAAAGTTAGACTCAGAGAGCTTAAATGAACTACCAAAGGTCACATAACTAAAAAGCTAGTTTTTGATGGCAGGGTATTCTGAATCCAAGTCTCTATCCCCTCTTTCTCTTTTATTTACCAAAGTTAACCGAAATTGATACTTGTTCATTCATTCAGGAGTGAGCCATCTCCAATTCAGTGCAGATCAGTTATTTGAGAGTGATTTTAGCATTTAAATTCCACCAAGAACAAAATGTTTTACCAAACGACATTCTGGTCATTTTTACTGCTTAGTAAATTTTCTGACACTACCATTCTTCCCTTCTCCCACTCCCTAAAGTTGGTATTTGAATATATACAATATATGCAAAGTGATTAGTAAATCTTATAGTATCATATAAATGCCAGGTTATTATTGCTATGCAAATTAAACACTATCATTTAAAAAGTAATCATTAAGCATTCTCTCATACAACAAAAGAAATACCTGGAATAGCTTTTGTTTTTCTGGAACTTTGTTTTTAAGCTGCCTGACTGGGGCAACATTTATGGTCCTCTGGGGAATCTGGCGAAGAGCCTAAAAAGAAGAAAGCATATTAATAAAATGTTCTAGAACCAAACAGTGTAAAGCTGAAAATTCCCTCAGAAACCAACTAGTTTAATACCATCATTTCTATATACAAAGAAACTGAGTTCCAGAGGGGAATGATTTGCCCAACAAAGTCCACAAAGCTAAGTTATTGGCAATGCCAGAACTCGAGCATATTACTGTTCTCCTTGTCCAGCCATCTACACTACACTAAGGGAATGAAGACTGAACCTGTGATTTCATTAGTATAGGAAACCTGTCCAATGAGGAAATTTCCTTTAGGCATGCAGGATAGTAGTTATCCTGTAACATACAGTATTAGAGATTTGCCTAGAGTAATAAAAGTGACTTTCCCAGGGTTACAAAGCCAGTTTGTATCAGAATTAAGACTTTAAGGCAGGTCCTTCCTGACTCTGAAGTCACCTGCATCACACTGCCTTTCCCTGCAACTACATTAGGAAGCCTCTTAAATTGACTAAATTTATCCATCAGAAGCAGAAGAAAAAACATGGGAAAATACAGACACAAGAAGAAAAAAGACAGAATGCCAAAACTACAACAAACTAATTTTTTTTATTACCCTGTTTAATGTATTGCAAATCCAATACAAATTATTTAATTGTAACACAAAGAATTAGACCTCTACTTAGCTAAAATGCCTTCCCCTATCAAATTTATTTACAACCCTGCATTACCTTGAAACAAGGAAAACTGACTTTCAACAAGTTTACTGGACAGAAAAAAAGAGCCACACAAGTGCTTCTTTTAAAAAGTAAATTAAGGGAACAGCTAGGTGGCACAGTGGATAGAGCACCGGCCCTGAAATCAGGAGGACCTGAGTTCCAAGTCCAGCCTCAGACCAAACACTTGACACTTACTAGCTGTGTGACCCTGGGCAAGTCACTTAACCCCCAACTGCCCAAAAATAAACAAATGGATGAATGAATAGATAAATAAATGAAGGAAAGAGTAAATTAAGAAATTAAAACGGGTTAAATAACAGGAAAAAACTTGGAATTAAAAATCTTTCAATAAAAAACATAAAAACAAAAAACACATCAAACTAGCGCTCCTTTTCTAACCTAAAGCACATCGTTAAAACAGATGAAACACTAGAAAAATTGCTGGAACACAAAATGTCCTTTCTTTATAAATATAAAAACAAAAACCACTGATCAGTTATCAGAGCTACTTAAAGTTCAACGTTAAAATGTGCAGAAAAAATTACATATTCATTGGAAGCAACCAGCATCAGTTGCCTAGCCTCTGCAAACTAATGACGGCTGAAAATTCAGCCTGAAAAATGCATTTTAGCCTTGCAGTCACTGGACCTGAATCCACATCTTAGCTCGGCCTCTTGCACCTTATTTATGTGACCTTGGACGAGTCACTTTATCCGTCTAGGCGTCACTTGCAAAAGGAGGGGCTTGGACTAGATTTAAAAATCGGTTATTCCAAATTTGCTCTATGTTTCCTTTTCAAAGTGTTAAATGACTCAAAAACTAACCCAAACTTGGCACTCTAAGAACTAGACGGGCCCTTAGGGATCTTTCGGGCCCATCCCGATCATTCCACAAACGAGGATCAGAGCCCAAGGTCACAAAGGTAACTAAGGAGCAGAGCCCTGCCTACAGAGCCCAGGGAGGCTACGTTTACAGATTTTTCGCCTCGGGCTAGGATGCTAAACCCAACAGACCGTGTCCGTAGCACAAGACACAGAAAAGGAGGGAAAGGGAGAAGATGTGGGAGAAGTGACGAGAGACGCGTTGGGGCCCGCAGCCTTCCAAGCCCGCAAAGCTGCTTCTCCCTCGCCTGGGGTCCCGCCGTCCTCCAGGAGGGCGATGGTCTCTGTCACCAAGACCGGGTCAGGCCGGCGACTTTCCCCTCCCCCCTGAGGCGAAAAGCGTCGGTCCCCAAAGGGCGGGGAGTGAGGTCCCCGCCGCAGGAGTCAGGCCGAGGCCGGCCACCCAACCTGCGGAGGCTGCTTCGGCTCCTCCGAGGGCTAGTGGGTGCCTGCCTCCTGTGCCCGGCTGAACCGAGCCCCAAGGGGGCTTTTCTCACCAGCAAGTTCCTCAGCATTTTGGCCACTTCAGGTCCCCACCAACTGCGCCAACCGAACCCTGGGCAAGGACGAGCGGTGGAGCGGAACCGGAAGCGGAAGTCGAACTTCCCTCTGCGAATCACCCACGCACGCTCCCCTGCGCAGGCGTCTCTCTTGGTCTCTAGCATGGGGTGTGGGAAGGGCCAAGTGCACCTCGTCTCCTCCCCGAGTCTGGCCTTATGACTTCGCTCTAGGTCTCGTCTCAATCTTACCTGGAACTGAACTGACAACTGGGACCGGGAGGGGCTGCAGGGCGAAAGGTGAGGGCGTGTTTGCAAGCCCAAAGAATTGCGATTTCAGTTGGAATCAGTGCAAGCCTCCAAACACTTCCTAGCTACTTTTGTTGCAGAACACTGGAGGAAATGTAGACGTGAGAAATCAAGTCCGAAAACCTTATGGTTAATAAAAAAATTATATAACATCCCAAGTTTTTACGTCACCTACATTTTCCAATGTAACCGCCATAACCATTATTTATATTTAAAAAAGGGGAATGAGTGGAGTTGAACAAAATTACTCGTCGAAAAAGTCTGCCGGTATACGTAGTGTTGCACAGCTGTCACACCCCCTTGCCCCCTCGGCAAAGAGGAGGGAGAGATACCTTCTCATAGCTCTTTTTTGGAGGCTATTGTAATTTATTTGGGAAGGGGTGGGAAAATAGCATTAAGGATTAATTAGAATTTATTGAGTACAGGTAAGAGGACAAACTTAGGAATTCCAGGAGGGAGGGAATAACAAATTCTTACAAGTTTGGAGGATGTCCCGCCAATTAACCCCTTCCTGGGCTGGAACATCATCTGCCTTACTCCAGACAGGTAGCTTACAAATTTTCCAGTGGTCAAAAAATAGCACATGAGCAGGACCTTGAAGGCAAGGAAGGACTTAAAAGGGTGGAGGGGAACATTAATTACACTAATGGGGGACAAGGTGTGCAAATGCATAGAGACAGAAGGAGGCAGGATGAGATTGAAGGCAACCAATTTGGCTAAAGCGTCAAGGGTAACGCGGAATGCCGTGAAATAAGACTGAACAGGGAGGTTGGAATCAGTTGGTGTTGAATAATTGACTAAAGATTTTGCTTAAATCCTAAAGTTTAAAACTAGAAGAGAACTTATAGATCATCGATTTCCAACCCCCTTATTTTGCATGTGAAGATAAAAGGCCCTGAGTTGTTGTGACTTACAGGATTCATACCCAAAACTGATTCCAAAATCTAGTGCTGCTGTTCCTATTTTGTTTAATAAACAATGGGGATCTACAGAAAGTTTTCAAAGCAAGGCAATGACATTAAACAGACTGAGCCATTAGGAATATTCAATGTCTTCCCCAGCTAATGAGAAATTTTTAGGGGGTGGGGGGTAGAGAGTTAGTAGAGGAAGAAAGAACTTGTGGGAGACCTCCCAGTAATGAAGATTAGGCACTTTCTCTGCAATTTAGTTTCAGAATTGCCTGAGGCATTGAGGGGTTAAGTGATTGGCCCAAAGACATATACATTTGATTATATTGCTGTTGTTAGTTGGTCCTTTTATTTGAACTGTTTAAAAGGGAAGCTTAGGGGCAGCTATGTGGCACAGTGGATAGAGCTCCAGCCTTGGAATCGGGAGGACCTGAGTTCAAATGGGGCCTCAGACACTCTGACACTTATTAGCTGTGTGATCCTGGGCAAGTCACTTAACCCCGATTGCTCACCAAAAAGAAAAAAAAAGGAAGCTTAATTGTAGATGTCTTAAATGGACTGTGAGTTAGAGGCAAAGAAGGGAAAAGGTACAATGGCTGGCTATACTACAGCTCTTCTCCCATCCCCTTCTACCTAAGCCCAAAAAGGTCCTCTAGGGTAGCATCTGCCCCCAAACCTAGGCCAACACCTCCAAAGCAGAATGGGGAAGGAGAGAAAAATACAATCAGAAATGTGGCCAGAGGGCTTCCATCAAGAGTCAGCTCACACTCTCCCATCTGCAGGAGACTTATCCTAGTCTTCACAGCTGTTAGTCAGCCCCTCTAAAAGTCACCTTACTCTATATAGATCTTTTTATAGCTATGTATTTACAGTTACTATCGTTAGAATGCAAGCTCCTTGAAGGCAAGGACTGTTTTTCTTCATATCAGCACTTTAGCACAGAACTTAAATGCTTATTTATTGGTATGATGGTATTCAGGATAAAGCAGGAGGAGGGAGGACACAGTAGTCTTACTACAAACTGCAACAGTGACACCAAGCTCTGGCCAGTTTGATAAGTGAGACTCTATGGTAACTTTATCACTTCAGGAAGCAAATCTGATCAACGGAGTTAAACACAGGCTAGTTATTTTTATAGAGAGGCATGGTCTTATTCAGGCCCATTTGATTGGTTTTCCACTTCTGATGTCACAAACAGGGAAATGCCAATTAGATAGGAAGGTGAAAGTCTCTAGAACTTGGAAGGTTCCAGGCACAAAAGATTCTAGCTATGGGAAAGGGTCCTGAGTAGAGATGCCTGTTAGTGAACACTAAAAAAAAATTTCAAAAACATCAAATGAAAGGACTAGAGGAAAAAAATAGGGGGAAAAAAAATTCTACAGAAGAAAGATTTGGAAAGAGAATTAACAGTTTGGAACAAAGGTACAAAGAAACAAATTCCCTGAAATGGCCAGACAGAAGCTAATGATTCCATGAGACAAAAACAAACAAAAAAATACACAACAACAACAACAAACCAAAAAAAAGGAGGAGAAGAAGAAAATAAAAGGTATCTCATAACAAAAACTGACCTGGGTAACAGATCACGAGATAATTTAAGAATCATTGGATTACCTGAAAGCCATGACCTAAAAACATACCTGTATTTCAAGAAATCATAAAAGCAAACTGGTCAGAAGTCTTAGAAACCAGAAGACAAAAGAGAAATGATCCACTGGTAACCTCCTAAAAAAAAAATTCCCAAAATGAAAACTCCCAGAAATATAGGCAAAATCCTGTACTTTCACATAAAAAAAAAATATTTGACAGCTATCAGAACCAAAAAGTAATGATAGGATGACATAAGATTTAGCAGCCACTCTTATTAAAACACTAGAGCATTTGGAAGATGTTATGCCATAAGCAAAAAATATAGGTTTACAACCACAAATAATTTACCTAACAAAACTGAATATAATCCTGCAAGAAGAGAAATGGATCTTTAATAAAATACAGGGTTTCCAAGAATTTCTCACCAAAAGTTCAGAGCTGAGTAGAAACTTGGACATACAAAGGAATCAAAAGAAACCTAACATAAAGCAAGTTATGTAAAGTAAACAAGTAAAAAAATCTTAAGGAACTGAAGATAAACTGTTTACATTCTTATATGGAAAAATGATACATACAACCCTTCAGAACTCTACCATCAGAGGTCATAGAGGAAGTCTAATTAAACAGAAGGCCTGAGGGTGATTATTATGTCTTGATGATTTTATTTATTTCTTATTTTTTTCTATTCACTTTCATTTTATTTTTGGTTTTTTAATTTTTTAATTAATTTTGAATTATCAACAATCATTTCCACAAGCTTTTGAGTTTAAAATATTTCTCCCCCTACCTCCCCCTCTCCCTTCCCAAGACGGCTCGCAATCTGATATAGGCTATACATATATATTCCTATTAAACATATTTTCACATTAGTGATGTTGTAGGTAAGAATTAGAACTAATAGAAGGCACCATCAGAAAGAGGAAATAAAACACAACAGAAGAAAAAAAAATAGCAAATAGAATGCTTCGATCTGCATTCAAACTCCATAGTTCTTACTTTGGATGTGGATAGCATTTTCCATCATGAGGCCTTTGGAGATGTCTTAGATCCTTGTATTGCTGAGAAGGGTTAAGTCTATCAATATTAGTCATCGCACAATATGGCTGTGCTTGAGTGAGTGGTGAGGCAGTTGGGGTTAAGTGACTTGCCTATGCTCACACAGCTAGGAAGTATCAAGTTTCTGAGGCCAGATTTAAACTCAGGTCCTCCTGACTCCAGGGCCAGTACTGTATCCACTGCGTCACCTAGCTGCCTCTGTCTTGATGATTTTAAAAGAAAAGAAAGGAAAATGAAGAGAAAGATTCTGGGGTAAAGGGAGAGAAAAGATGGGGAAAATTTTAATTTTTTTTCCATATGCTTTTGAGTTGAAAATTTTTCTCCCCTTTCTCCCCCTCACCCTCCCCAAGACGGGCACAATCTGACATAGGCTTTACATTTACATACCCATTAAACATATTTTCACATTAGTGAAGTTGTAAGTAAAAATTAAAACCAATAGGAGGAACCATCATAAGGGGTGAAACAAAACTCAACAGAAGGTAAAAATAAGTGATAGTGATTCGACTTCCATAGTTCTTTCTTTGGATGTGGACAGCATTTTCTATCCCGAGGCCTCTGGAGATGTCTTAGATCCTCGTAATGCTGAGAAGGGCTCAGTTTAACATTCTTAGTCATTGCATAACGTGGCTGCTATTGTGTACAAAATCCTCTTGGTTCTGCTCACTTCACTCAGCATCAACCATATAAGTCTTTCCAGGTTTTTCTGAAGTCAGCCTGTTCATCATTTCTTATAGCACAATAGTATTCCATTACATTCATATACCACAACTTGCTCAGCCATTCCCCAATTGATGGGCATCCTCTCAATTTCCAATTCTTTGCCACCACAAAAAGAGCTGCTATGTATATTTTTGTACATGTGGGTCCTTTTCCCATTTGTTTGATCTCTTTGGGATATAGCCCTAGAAGTGCTATTGCTGGATCAAAGGGTATGCACATTTTTGTAGCCCTTTGGGCATAGTTCCAAATTGTTCTCCAAAATGGTTGGATCATTTCACAACTCCACCAACAATGTATTAGCGTTCCAATTTTCCCACATCCTCTCCAACATTTATCATTTTCCTGTTTTGTCATGTTGGCCAATCTGATAGGTGTGATGTGGTACCTCACAGTTGTTTTGATTTACATTTCTCTAATCAATAGTGATTTAGAGCATTTTTTCATATGACTATAGATGGCTTTAATTTCTTCATCTGAGAACTGTCTGTTCATATCCTTTGACCATTTATCAATTGGGGAATGGCTTGTGTTCTTATAAATTTGTCTTAGTTCTCTATATATTTTAGAAATGAGACCTTTATCAGAGAGACTGGTTGT